TGCTTGAACTTATCAACAGCAGCCAGGACGGAGGGCATGCCGCCTTCAAGATGGAACTCTCGCGTCAGCGCCGCTGACATGTGTCTTAAAGCGTTTGCAGCAGCTATAAGGGTGGAGGTTTGGCCGTTCTCAACAGAGGGCTTTCGCATCTGCGCCGCGCAAACTCTTTGCAAGAGTTTGCAGCATTTCGCGGATGGATGGGGTTGGCTTTCAAACTGGTGTTTCGCCTCAGCGCCGCGCGCGCTTGTGTCAAATGTTGCAACAGTGACATGGGTGGAGGGGGTGGTTTCCAACATGGGGCTCTCACCATTTCGCCGCATTCATTCGTGTTTTCTAATCTAGCAACAGTTACGATGACGTAGGCTGTTTTTTCAACATGGGGCTCTCGCATTTGCGCGGCGCGCATTCGTAGTACACATCGTTTTGTTTTTGCCCTGATGGAAGGTGGTTCGTGTTCAAACTGGGGCTTTCGCCTCAGCGCCACGCGGTCTCGTCTTCAGAAACCGCAGCAACTACAGTAATCGAGGGCGGCTCCTTGTCAAAATTGGGCTCTCGCCTTAGCGCCGCGTGCACTCGTTTTCAAAGCCAGAAGCAATTCCAAGGATGAGTGGCGGCTCCTCGTCAACATAACTCTGGTCTTAGCGCCGCGCACGGTCGCCTTCAAATTTTACACCAATTTCAAGGATTCTACGACGGTTCCCTTTTTAGGGTGGGGGCTCGCGCATGATATCCCGTCAAGTTTAAGTATCATGATCCCCAACATATGCAACACCTGCACGGATGGAGGGCGGCCTTGTTTCGAACATGGGATCTCTCTCGGGATGCCGGCGGGGCCCGGTGGCCAGGCGCGCAGACTATTGCAACAGTTTACAGTATACACAGAAGGGGGGGGGGCGTTTTCAAAGCAGGTTTTGGCTCGACGCCTCGCTGAGCTGTGTGATCATACCTTTTCGCATTCCTTACTATCCGCTAGAAGGGTGTAAGGGCGTTCCCTTTCAAGACTGGATTCTCGCCTGGGTGGCAGACCCCCCGGGCGCGGGTCTGTCAAGGCAGCGCTTCTTGCAGTGAGAAGTGATGCCTGTGGGAACCTGTGAAAAGGGGACTTGGGGCGAGAGGGTGCATTGCAGAATCGTTCATGCATCTTGGGTTTACTCTGGCCCCCACTCTCTTCACTCCCCCTCTTCCTCCTCCTCCTCCTCCTCCTCCTCCTCCTCCTCCTCCATTTCTCATCCTCCTAAAGAACTTGGCTCTGTCGCACCCCGAGGCCAGCTTTTAGGGCATGCCGGGCGTCTCGCCTGAGACATCCTCACTATGTATGACCCTGAGGTTTGAACATTGGCAACACTTTCACGGATGAAGGGCGAGTGGTTTTCAAAGTGTGGTTCTCGCTTTAGCGCCGCGCACATTCGTTTTAAACATTTGTAAGCGTTTCGCGGATTGAGTGCGGGTGTTTTTCAAGATGTGGCTCTCGCCTCAGCGCCGCGTGCATTTGAGGGCGGGTGGTTTTCAAAATGTGGCTCTCGCCTTAGCGCCGCGTGCATTCGTTCTTTAAATAGTACAAGGGTCCAACGGATTGAGGCCGGCGGTTTTCAAAATGTGGTTGCCCCCATTAGCGCCGCATGAATTCGGTTTAAAACTCTGCGAGTTTTTCACGGTTTGAAGGCGGCTTCTTTTCAACATGTGGTTTTCGCCTTAGCGGCGCGCGCGTTCGTTTTAAAACTTTGCAGGCTTTTCACGAATTTCCATGATCAGCGTACCAGAAATGCGTTCTGAAAGGATTCTGTATTCTGAGGATGCAGCAGTTACGTTGATTCGCGGTGTTGAAGTCCCAGGAGTGACGTTCTGGCGCGATTCAGGACCGTCAAGACGCGTTAGTCAGGTTGGTCCGTCGCGTTGGAATCCCGAGAACAATGTTTTGGCAATGATCCAGGGTCTTCCAACGGTTGTCTTCCAACAAGGCAGTTCCCTCAGTGGAATGAGCGGTTGCACGGGCCTATGAAGAGGGAGTTTGGAATGAGGGTTTATCCCAACATCGTTGATTATTCTTGGGTTTACACTGGTCCTCCTCCACCTCCTCCCTCCGCCTCCTCCTCCTCCTCCACCTCCTCTTCCTCTTCATCCTCATCCCCCCTGTCCTCATCCCTCCCCCCCTCCCTCCTTCCCTCCTGCTCTGCAGTGGGGGCGGGGGCCTACTCTGGCAGCGGGGGGGGGCGACGGGGGGAGCGGCCGTGGAGCATGCTTACCTTCTCCGCTCCCCGTGCCCCCCTTCGGCTCCCAGCGCCCCGCCTGCTCGGCCGGCCGTCGCTAGACTCTAGACCTGCCCTGGCGAAGACCTGACTGGCCATCACCGGCGCCGCCGCCGTCGCCGCTGCCGCCGCCGCCGTCGTCGTCGTCGTCGTCGTCGTCGTCGTCGGTTCGTCGTCGCCGTCGTCGTCGTCGCCGTCGCCGCCGTCGTTGTCGTCGTCGTCGTCACCGTCGTGGCCGTCCTGGTCGCCGTGGTCGTCGTGGTCGTCGTGGTCGTCGTCCTCGGGGGTCGTGGGCGTCGTGGTCGTCGTCCGCGGGCTCGTCGGGAGGGTCGCCTGGTACGTAAGACGTTCCAGGGAGGCCGATGAAGAGGGGTCGAACCTTTGCAAAACAGCGTCTCGACCCACGTTGTGATGGGTTCTGCTCCCAATAGCGAGATACAGTATTGGGACTAGCGTGGGGCTTCTGGTGCACATATTGAGGGCCTCTTGGGGACGTCTTGGGGCCTCGTTTGCGTGTTTGGACCATCCCTTGCTGTATCGGCGACATCTCGGCGACCTTCGGGGTAGGATTGGGTAATCTAAGAGGCTCCTGGCGTACCCAGGGATACCCCCAGTTGCAGGACACGGGGCATGCAGACATCATGGAAGACACAACGCCACATCATCATTCGTTGCTTTCTCGGGTACGTCTTGCCCCCCCAACCCAGCCAACTCAAAGGAATCTGAGGACCATCCTCGGCCTTCTTGGTCTCTTGGAGGGAGAAGGACAGAGGGTGGAGGAAGAGGAGGAGGAGGTAGAGGAGGAAGAGGAGGAGGATAAGAAAGATGATGATGAGGAGGGGAAAGAGGAGGACAAGTGTAAACCTAACATGCATCCACGATGTTGCAACTTCGAGGCCTCTCGTGCTCTCTTGGCTATCTGGTGGCGTCCCTGTGGACATCCTGCGGCAGCCTAGAGCGGCAAGGAGGGTGAGGTACCGCCCCCGAAGGTTTTAGATTTTGACCCCACGGGCCCCCGTAGTTCCTCTCCTCCTCCTCCTCCTTTTCCCCTCCTCCTCTTCCTCCTCCTCCTCCTCCTCTTCCTCCTCCTCCTCCAGACAGTAGAATGGAGACAGGAAGAGATGGACAAGAGAGGGTCGCAAACGGCATACGAAACAAACCAAGACTGCAGTCTGGCAAAATGCCTCGCAGTCTTGTGCACCCCCACTGGGGCTGGCTGACTTACGTTCTGCTTCGGAGGCCCTCGCAGGTTGTAGCCTCAGGACGCCCGATCCTGCCCGTTCGACTCGACCTACCTGGGCTTCGAGACTTCGCGATGGGCCCCATCCGTCGCGGTCGGGAAGCAAATGGTCATTTCCATGCAGGGGCGGGGGAGTCTTGGCCGAGTCATTCCAAATACGTGTGCTGACGCCTGGACTTCGGCTGAGCTGTGCCCGTCGAGGGCGGTCAGTGTGCTGTCATGCATAGCTCAGCTGGTGCACTTCCCCTGCCGCCTCATCCATTGTGTTCGAGCGCCTGGGGCATGGCTGTCCAAGGCGCTGTCCAAGGCCAACGACTCTCATCTGGAGGAGCCTGGGCTGCGGACTATCCCGAGCGTCGCGGCCGTGGCGCTGGCATCTCGGATGCTGGCGGCCTCAGACACGCGCATTTGCTGGAAGGAGATGAGCGACGAGCTGCGGTGCCACGCCCGCGCTATGTTCCCAGCTACGAGGTGGTCAGCCTCGTCTTGCTGGCCGTCGTCGTGGCTGAGCCCAGCGCCCTTCGCGGCACTGTCCGAGGTGGCCCGCGCCTCGGCTGCCCTGGGCTTTCGTCTCAGCCGTGCTGCAGGAGGCGCCTTGCACGAGCTCGGGGAGGCAAGTCCGCCAGCTTCCAGCGCCCGTGCTGCATCCGCGGATGCCTTGCTCGATTCCGCTCTTGCCGGCTCCGCTGCGCCACCGCCGCCCCCACCTGTCCCGCGTGCCCAGCGCTTTCTCTCCACTTCCCGTGCCTGCCCACTTGCCCAAAGCTCCGTAATTAAGTGCTACATCACGGAGCGGGTTGGACAGTGCTTTGGGGTCGAGGGTGAAGCTTTCGGGACGTGTGTTGATTGGGGGGCGGTGGAGGGGGGTTCTGCGGAAGCCTCCCTCGCGGCGTCTGGGGGCTTTCAAGACGTGGCCCGGTGGATGAATAGCGGCCACTCGGATGCGCAATGTGGGAGGGGGCGGTGGGTGTAGCTTGGGGTGTGGGGGCGGCTCGGACTTTGTCCGACACTATCTCTGGTGCGTCCGCCTCCTCAGAGCTTGTAATTCAACAGTCTGGCGGCCTTCTCCTGGCCAGCGTCTCTCTTAGGAGGCTCGGTCTTTCGAGTCCTGCGGCGGAATCATCCGCCCTGCGTAGTATTATGCTCCTAGTTCGTAATCATCGTCTGCTTCACGCCGAGATCATCGGCAGGACTGCTAAGATCGCCACCGTCCTGCCCCAGGGGTAGGCGGAAGGACGGAGCCATCACAATCGCTGTGCCTCCTCCTTCCCCTCCTCCTCTTCCCACCCTCCCTCCTTTCCCTCGTCTCTCCGCTCCTCACCCTCCCTATCCCTCTTCCTTCCCCCCCCCCCCTCCCTCCTCCCTCTTCCCCCCCTCTCCTCCCTCCTCCTCCCTCCTCCCTCTTCCCTCCTCTCCCTCCTCCCTCCTCCCTCGTCGTCTCCCTCCCTCCCCCTCTCCCCCCTCCCTCATGGACGAGGCTCGTGCCGCGCCAGGCTGCGAGCTTGGCCCGCGGAATGGGCGGCTGGCTGCGCCCGGCGCTGGCAGTGGCCGCAGCCGCGCTGCTAACGCCAGCATTCGCGAACTACGGTGCACGGGGCGTGGCGGCGCGCTGCTTGGCGGCGACAGGGGAGGAGGAGGGAGAGGAGGAGGAGGAGGAGGAGAAGGAGGAGGAGGAGGAGGATTACAAGCAGGATAATGGGAAGGAGTATGATGATGCTGATGATGCTGATGCTGATGTTGATGCTGATGCTGATGATGGTGACGATGATGACGATGATGATGATGACGATGATGATGATGATGCTGCTGATGCTAATGATGATGGTGATGGTGGTGTTGTTGCTGATGCTGACGATGATGAGGAGGATGATGATGACGATGATGATGACGATGATGCTGGTGATGATGATGATGCTGATGATGATGATGGTATTGGTGTTGATGATGATGCTGATGACGATGATGATGATGCTGATGATGATGAAGGTGGTGGTGGTTCTGACAATGATGAAACTGATGATGATGATGATAATGGTGATGGTGCTACAAATGACACTTTTGCTGATCGGAATGCTAACGATGATGTTGATACTGCTGGTGATGACGATGCTGCTGCTGATGCTGATGATGCTGATGATGCTGTGGATGATCATGGCGATGGTTATGATGATGATGGTGATGCTTTTGCTGATGTGTAATGATGGTGGGCAAAGATGAAGCTGGTGATGATGATGATGATGCTGAGGAGGAGGGTGATCCTGATGATGATGCTTATGATGGTGATGGTGCTGATGATAAGCTGATGGTAAGCGGACGATGTCGATGATAAAGTTGGTGATGGGGATGCGTGATTATGCTGAAGGAGATGGTGATGTGCATGGTCGTGATGCTTATGATGCTACTGACGATGAGGACGATGATTATGCTGATGATGTTGATGACCAGGATGCTGATGATGATGTTGGTGCTGATGATGATGCGTGATGCTGCTGATGATGCTGATGATTAGGATGCTGATGATGATACCGATGATGGTGATGATGATGGTGATGTGATGATGATGGTGATGGTGATTGTGATGGTGGTGACGAGGATGATGAGGATGATCATGATGGTGGTGGTAGTGACGATGATCATGAGGAGGAGGAGGAGGAGGAGGAGGGGCAGTAATTTGAGGATGAGGGGGATCAGGCGGAGGATGGTGATGAGGAGGATGAGGATGACGATGCTTCTGCTGATTATGATGATGATGGTGGTCATCCTGACGAAGGTGGTGTTGGTGGTGGTGGTCATGGTGGTGGTGATGATGTGGAGGAGAGGGAAGATGAGGAGAAAGAGGAGGAAGATCAGGACAAGGAGGACGAGAAGTACTAGTAGTAGGAGTAGTAGTAGTAGTAGTAGTCGTAGTAGTAGTAGTCGTAGTAGTAGTAGTAGTAGTAGTAGTAGTAGTAGTAGTAGTAGTGGTAATAGTAGTAGCAGTAGTCGTAGTGATAGTAGTAGTCGCAGCCATAGTCGTATTTGTAGCAGGAGTAGTAGGAGTGGTAGTAGTAGCAGTAGTGGTAGAAGAAGTAGTAATAGCAGCAGTAGTAGAAGTAGTGGTAGTAGAAGTAGTAGGTAGTGGTAGAAGAAGTAGTAGTAGCAGCAGTGGTCGTAGTGGTAGTAGTAGTAGTAGTCGTAGTAGTAGTAGTAGTAGTAGTAGTAGTAGTCGCCGTACAATTAGTTGTAGTAGCAGCAGTAGTAGCAGTAGTGGCCGTAGTAGCTGTAGTAGTATTTGTAGTAGTAGTAGTAGTAGTAGTCGTCGTCGTCGTCGTCGTCGTCGTCGTCGTCGTCGCCGGGGTAGTAGTAGTAGCTGTAGTAGTAGTAGTAGTAGTAGTAGTAGTAGTAGTAGTAGTAGCAGTAGCAGTAGTAGTAGTAGTAGTAGTAGTAGTAGCAGTAGTAGCAGTAGTAGTCGCCGTAGTAGTCGCCGTAGTAGTAGCAGCAGTAGTAGTGGTAGCAGTAGTAGTAGTAGTAGTAGTAGTAGTAGTAGTAGTAGTAGTAGTAGTAGTAGTAGTGGTAGTGGTAGTAGTAGTAGTAGTAGTAGTGGTAGTAGTAGTAGGGGTGGTAGGAGTGGTCGCAGTAGTGGTAGACGTAGTTGTAGCAGCAGCAACAGCAGTAGCAGTAGTTGTATTTATTGTAGTAGTGCGTGTAGTAGTACTACTACCACGCGTAGAAGGAGTAGACGTAGTAGTAGTGGTAGCAGCAGTGGTAGTAGTAGTAGTAGTAGTAGTAGTAGTAGTAGTAGTAGTAGTAGTAGTAGTAGTAGTAGTAGTAGTAGTAGTAGTAGTGGTCGTCGTCGTCGTAGGGGTCGTGCCGAGCAGCCTCGTCGCCGACGCGACGACCATCTCGCAGAGTGCGCTCCTGAAGTGTCCCGAAGCGTGGAAGGGCCTGGCGAGGGTCGATCGGGGGTGGGTGGTCCCGCCGATAGAGCTCTTCGCGGACGCGCCCACACGAGATCGATGGGTCACGGACAACATGGTCTCGAACGGGCGCTTCAACTGGAAGCGTCTTCTTCAGTAGGTCTTCTCTTTCGATGTTCAGTGCGTCGTGTCAGGTGTCTCCGCAGCGACCCGGCCACGCGAGGCGCTCGCCTTCAGCGGTCATGCGCGCTTCAAGAGCCATCTGTGCTGCTGGCTCGAGCTCGCAGACACCCTGGGCGACGGAGTTGCGACGGAAGTGCAACGCATGGGGGATATGCTGGGGGACCTGATGAACAGCGAGGCGCAGGTTCGTTTGGGGAATCCCCAGCGGATGCACCAGATCACCCGTGCGGAGTACACCGCGATCGCGCAGGAGTTCTACCCCGAGCTCGCTGCGGCGTATCAGGCTCCAGAACGCCGAGACAAGTTGGCGGAGGCATTCGAGGGCGCGATCGTGTCGAGCGCCGCTGCTGGAGATGCTCTGTCGCTGTTGGAGCTGATCGCTCAGCACGTGGCCATGACCCATGGTGGTCTGCGCGTGACCGAGCTGTCGCACGCCGCGGCGCTTCCGGGTTGGGGTGTCTCCAGTGGGGCCTCCGTAGCGCTCGCTCCGGCCGCAGCCGTGCCCGACGTGATTGCGGTGGCCCCTGCGGCCCCGGCGTCTCCAGCGCAGTCGGCCGCCCTGCCTGCGGCGACTACTGCGCAGGCCCCTGCAAGCGATGGAGGTGGTGCGCTGGTCGCTCAGGCGGCCGCTGCAGCGGTCCGTCTGACGGCTCCGGGACCCGCCCGTATCCTGCCTTTCTCGGGTGGGAACAGTCGAGTGCGCGCGCGGCCTGCCGGTCTCTCCGACCGGTTCGACTGGGACAGCCCGAACGCGGACACGCGTCTGGCCTGCGTCGGCTCCAACGACGCCGATGTGCAGCGAGTTGTCGATGCGGGTTTCGTCCTCGTGCCTGTTTTCCACTTCTATGCCGCCGCAGAGGGCGCAGAGTGGGGTCTTTCGCGGGTCGGAGCGAAGAAGATCTTCGAGAGCGTGGCCGACAGGACCAACACGGTCATGAAGTGCCGCTCGGTGGGGTGCGCCGGGAGGCATGCGCACGACTTCGACACCGCGGGCACGTGCCCCCGGGGCAACATGCACGAGCTCCAGGAGGAGAACGGCGAGCGCGCCGGGTACGGCAATCTCTGGGCCTTTCGAGGCTGTGGACGGAACCGCGACGGCGACCCTGCTGGCATCGCCACGTGGTGCTATATCGCAGCGCTCTGGCTGCAGCAGACGTTGGCGCGCTACTGGGGCTGCAAGATCGTTTTCCAATGCACGCGCGGCAAGCGCAGGAGTGCGATCTTGCTCGGCATGGCGATGGAGTACACGAGCACCGCAGATCGCCCGAGCAGAGGCTGGCTCGCGTCAATGCCCTACGTGCAGGGCGATTGGTGTCCGCTCTCGGTGCCCATGCCCCCGCGGCACTGGCAGGGTCGAGCCATTCGAGGGGCCGACTGGGCGCAGGCTCCGTTCGACGCCGCGGCGAACCAGCGCGCCGTCGACGACGCAGCGCGCGCGCGCAGCCAGCGCCGGCAGCGCAACCAGGCCCAGAAGGGGAAAGGGGATGGGAAAGGCAAAAAGGGGAGGGAGTAGAGGGTTGGGCGGCAGAGAGCTGTCCCGAAGGCCATTTTGGGCTGGTATTAATTAGCGTTTGCTCGCTGCGCGGTGGCCGCCGTCTTGTCCTCTTGTGTCCGCGACGTCCTTTCCGAGGACCTCTCCGGACAAGAAGGTTTTTCGGCGTCTCTCGCGGCTGCGCTTTGTGCCAACGGAAAGAAAACTCCCTGGGGCCAGTAATCCAGACGCGTAGGCCGGCGAAATTGCAGGTTTTTGTCCCGCCGTGTTGTGCGACACGATCCAAAGAAGGATGCATCCAATGCGGTGCTCGTGTGCTAGCGGTGCCTGCCACGTCCGGATCTTTCAGCGGAAGTCTATGCTCATGGAGAGGCTGACGGAGTCAGCATCGCATGGGGGGTTGATATCGTGCGCGCGTGTTTCAGGGCTCCGCTTTGGTGCGCGTTGCCCGTTGACAGCTGAGGTTCGCTTTGGTGCCCGTCCGCTTGAGTACGAGCAAAAAATATTAGTAGTAGTCGTCGTCGTAGTCGTAGTCGTAGTAGTAGTAGTAGTAGTAGTAGTAGTAGTAGTAGTAGTAGTAGTAGTAGTAGTGGTCGTAGTAGTCGTAGTAGTCGTAGTAGTCGTAGTAGTCGTAGTAGTCGTAGTAGTCGTAGTAGTAGTAGTAGTAGTAGTAGTAGTCGTCGTCGTAGTCGTAGTCGTAGTAGTAGTAGTAGTAGTAGTAGTAGTAGTAGTAGTGGTAGTAGTAGTCGTAGTAGTCGTAGTAGTCGTAGTAGTAATAGTTGTAGTAGTAGTAGTAGTAATAGTAGTCGTCGTCGTCGTCGTCGTAGTAGTAGTCGTAGTAGTCGACTCAGTAGTAATAATAGAGGTAGTGGCAGTAGTAGTAGTAGTAGTAGTAGTAGTAGTAGTAGTCATCGTAGTAGTAGTAGAAGTAGTAGTAGTAGTAGTAGTAGTAGTAGTAGGAGTAGGAGTAGGAGTAGGAGTAGAGGGGTGGTGGTGGTAGTGATAGAAGTGCTAGG